GCTGACATTAGAGTCCAACCACGTTTGGACCGCTTTATGGGTGGCCGAATCAGGTTCGTAAAGTGCACTTTCTTTCCCCCAAATCTCTGTCACACACCGCGGCGGCGCTTCAGCCTCGTCACCACAATGAGTGTGAATCCTGGCCCAGTGGTCTGCTGACCCGGCAAGCTCGCGTGAGACGACTTTTGCTGCCGGGGAGCTACTATCTTTGGACCTGGTTTTACAGCGGAGCATCACGTGGTTAAAGTGTGTGCACCAACGCTGGGCGAGCGACACTTCATCGAAGTCCCCCTCCTCATCTACACCCGGAATGTCGTTACCTCCTGCCAGTGCTGTGCATTTCCGTTTCCCCCTCTCCTTCTCTGTCCATCGAGGAGTAGCAACCACATCGTCTTCCCCCTCGGGCTCCACCGAAGTCACTTGGTCGGTTGTGCCGCAGGCTGGTGGCATTGGCAAGTCTTCCGGCTGGTGAGAATCCTCTGCAGTCAATAGGCAAGGACCCCAAGGTTTAGCAAGCATTACACATTGCCTACGGGCTCGACATAATGTGAAAGTCTTTCCATGCACTTACCATCCGTACGTTCCTCTTCACCAGAGATACCGCCGTCACCCTCTGCACTCGCCATTGTATCGCTTGTCAGCCGCACGTAATCAGCTTCAGCTGTGGTAGGAACACCATGGACTGGATGGGGATCAAATCTATACAGATGGCATACATCTGACCAACCAATACGGATTAACGTCCCTCCTTCAACAGCAGCACCCCCCTCATGCCCCTGCTGCACATCCACTGGGACCACCCCTTGAAAAGGATCGGTATCCACATGGGCCCCCGCGCTCTGTATACTTGATGCCCGGTTGACACGGTTTTCAGAGTCGGACACAACCAGAGGTATGTCCACTGCCAGCCCCCCTCCAACAACCGATTGTGGGACCGTCGTTGTGGACCGCGCAGGCCGGTGCCGCTTGCATGGGGGCTTTAGCATTTCAATTTCACGCTCCTTAAACTGAAGCACCTTCCGTAGCTCAGGGTACAGCCACGGGGACGTAGGGACAGCTTTGGGGTCATATGCAAATCTCTCAAGCTTTGCACAGACGGCCTCGATAAGGACTAGCTTCTTGGAGGTCTCACGTACTCGTCCGCCACCGCCACCATTTTTCCGTAACCAGGACCAGAGAGTCACATTGGAGCAAAGCCAGAGGTCGCCCGTGCATGTGGCATCCGTCACTCTCATCGCTAGCCGCTGCGCGTCGATCGGCTCCTTCACAAACTTTTTGGTCAGAGCTCTGCTCTTGTGCCAAACGTCCTTCTGATGAGAAATACCTTTTCCCGCAAGGCCGGCTTTGAATGAACTCCCATCGTCTGATATGATGCCCTTCACCTGGAAGCCCATGGCCTTTAATTGCTGAAGACCATCCTCAAAGGCGAGCAGCTCCAGTGCTGGTGATGACACCTTTTCAATCACCTTCCACTTCGTCACAGATAGTAGGATTTTGCGTGATTTGTCGTCAATAAAGGACATTGTGCACCGCTCAGCCTCTCGTGGGTGGGACCAGCGCCCGTCCACACACAACCATTCCCCAGGGATGTCCCTTTCACTCATCTCATCACGCACGGCAGCCATCGACATGTCTGCTCCTACTTCAATAGCCTTCCACAATCCATATTGTCCTCTCATGTACCTGTAGAACGTTGCCTTGGCAATTGCCGGGATACCAAGCGAGCGGCTAACCTCCCATAGCTGTTGGAAACCAATGCACGCCAAGACAAAAGAGGCCAAAAACTTGGGCAGCAAGAGGGAAGATTGTGGTCCCTTCTTACTACCCGTACCGGTCGTGTTCCCGCGTTTTGTGGTCCAGAAGGGTAGGTCTCTCTTGCACGTATCACAAACCCAGGTGAGACCAAGGCATGCCCAAGGTCGCGTTACTGCTGTTAAGACCAGCTTCCCTTCACACCCTAACCCCGCACTGCAACATAGAGTTGCCATCATGAAAAACTGGATCAGGAGGCGGGGATTGAGGAGGCATACCATCCCATTGGCCATGGTAGTGCAGGCAGGGTCGTCTAGCGGAGTACACTCTGGATTTTCCTGCTCCGGGTCCGTTTGCAAAGCCTGCTCCATCCTGCCCGGGTGCACGCAAGGGATGCATAGCTGCTGGGGTTTTTTCCCACTACGGGTTTGACCTCTCATCGGACATCATGTAAGCAATGAAGCGACTAGCCCGTGTGGAAGATGTGGGGCAGCACAAAGGTGGTACCAAAGTGAATGTAATAACGCACCTGACGCTTGGCCGAAGGTCTGGTCGGGCCCGCATGCGGCCACCTCATGTTGAGGTGGGCGCCCAACTGTCACCTCTTCCCTGCCTCTGTCTCCCGTTCCCCCCTGCGCAGCAGGATAGTCCATAGCCGGTGGCGTTGTGGACCCGATGTTGAGTCGGTCCTCGGCTTCAGCGTTTGCGAGTTCTGGCCGAAGGGGGATACGGTCAGAAATATTGGGTTTCACTTCACGTTTGGTTGCTTTTTCCAGAAGATGGTTTCAGATGCAGTCCTGATTGATGGCGGGCTCACCCCTTTGTTTAAGAGCCTCGTAGGTCGTCCCAACCCTTGTCCCACCATGCTTGAAGCCTTTCACTGGCACCGGCTCCACCTTTTTATCAAGTTCATCCGCCGGCAAATTGTAGTTGTACTCCCCATTGGCATCCGGAGTCCTCTCTAGCACCTCCGCCACCGAGCACACGTCACCTTTGCGTTTGGTTCGAAAGGCTCTCATTTGAGCATCCAGATGCATTTGTGCCGTTGCGCGGTCGGCCACCCCGTCCCGACCTACATTCATATTGCGGTTGGGCAGCAGGAGCAAACAAGGATTATGCATTGAGGCATACCCAGGGGGCTGATGCACTTGTCGGGTAATCCATGCCCTATACCACCTACCTTCGCTTTGGCACGGTTGCTCTAAACAGCATTCTGGCACAGTCGAACTCTATGTTACTCATACCTGCCTTTTCCGCAGCTGTAAACAACGTCGCAACTACGTCTGATGCCTCAGATGCCAGAACTGCTATGACGTCATTGTGGCTCGCGATGTACTCTCCACCCATCAGCTCTGTCAATCTGCAGCGCATGATGGCCATGGGGATTTGCATCCGCTTTCCGATAGTCACGTTGCGCTGCCTGATCATGTTTAGTATGGGCTTAAATCGTGGATTGGTGGGGAATCCTGCATCGCCAATTCCATCTGGCCCACCCAGCTCCGCGTTCTCCTGCAGTTGCCCCCACTCGACATGGACAGGGTGGGAGGGCCATAAGATGAGCGATCCAGGGGTGAGGGGGGGGTGGATGTGCTCGACTGGACTGGACCATGGGAATGTGGGTGACTTTGCGGGGGTTGTTGGGGGCTGCTGGCCATGATAATTGGACAAATAATGTGAGCCATGGAGGGGAGACAGCACGTGTATGTCAGTTGGATTGGGGGCAACCAGAGGTGGATATGTGGGAGACTGGAGGGGTGAATTTGTGGTGATTGGAGTGTCGGAAGGCGGCTCAATGCGCGTGCGTAGTGAATGATGGGGGTGGGCCGTACGTGTAATGCATGGGGGAATACGAGCATCCGGAGGGGGGTTTGGTGATGGAGGTAGGGCCATGTCTCAAGTGACCCTTGGACAGATTCGGGCCTCTTTCCCTCATTCCTCAAGGGTCCTCTTTTGGCGCCACCATGTTTTTCACTTCCCAACACTCTACCTTCTCTAAGGCCACGCTAACCTGAAAGTATACCCACCGTCTCTTGCGGTCTCAACATTCTCTCCCTCTCTCTCCCCACTGTCCCAACCTGTTTCCCTCACAAAAGCTACACTCTCCTGTTTCTCTCACCCCCCCCGGTCTCCCAATTCTCTGTCTGCTCTCTCCACCCTCTCACCACTACCTCCCAACTCTCTTCCCTATCTAATGCCACACTCTCTTGTTTCTCCACCCAACCCCCCCCCCGCTGTCTCCCCGTTCTCTCCCTCTCGCTCCCCACCCTCTCCCCACTACCACCCAACTCTATTCCCTCACTAGTGCCACCCTCTCCCCACTACCTCCCAGCTCTCTTCCCTCACTAATGTCACCTTCTCCTGTTTCTCTCCCCACCCTCCCCCCCTGTCTCCCAATTCTCTGCCTGCTCTCTCCACCCTCTCACCACTACCTCCCAACTCTCTTCCCTATCTATTGCCGCCCTCTCCTGTTTCTCCCACCGCACTCCTCCCCCCCCTTTGTCTCTCAATTCTCTCCCCCCACAACCTCCCAACTATCTTCCCTCTCTAATGCCACCCTCTCCTGTTTCTCTCCCCACCCTCCCCCCCCTGTCTCCCAATTCTCTGTCTGCTCTATCCACCCTCTCACCACTACCCCCAACTCTCTTCCCTCTCTAATGCCACCCTCTCATGTTTCTCTACCCACCCTCCCTGCGCTGTCTCCCCATTCTCTCCCTCTCGGTTCCCATCCCTCTCCCCACTACCTCCCAACTCCCTTCCCTCTCTAATGCCACCCTCTCCTGTTTCTATCTATCCCCACCCTCCCCCCGCTGTCTCCCAATTCTCTCCCTGCTCTTCCGCCCCTCTCCCCAGTATCTCTCATCTCACCGCCCCTCTCCAATGCCACACATCATGTTTTCTCTGCATTCTCTGTGGGCTTTCCTGAACTCTATGTTTTCCACGCTCCCGGCTCCCCCCCCTTACCATCACCAATGGCCTTCTTTGTCCCCTCTGTTCCCATTCTCTACCCTCATCGCAAAAACGGCAGAATGCGGAGTGGAGGGTGTATTATTGGCTGAAGGCCTGCCTCTGTGGTTGCCTCTGCCTCTGCCAGGGGAGCGTGGCGTGGCAAATGGCGCTAGTGGGCTCTGAGGTGCTGCGGAGGCGCATAAGAGGGAGTCAGCCTCACGCGGAATGCTGGGTAGGGGCGCGCGGTATAGGTGGGATGCAGGGAGTGGAGCGAGGCGACGCGGAATGCGTGGGAGGGGAGAGTGACGATGCGGAATGCGTGGGTGGGGAGAGAGACCCCGCAGAATGCGTGGGAGGGGCCAGAGAGGACGCGGAACGCGTGGGAGGGGAGAGAGACGACGAGGAGTTGTGGGAGGGGAGAGAGACGATGTGGAATCGTGGGAGGGGAGAGAGACGACGCGGAAGCGTGGGAGGGGAGAGAGACGACGTGGAACGTGTGGGAGGGGAGAGAAACGACGCGGAATGCGTGGGAGGGGAGAGAGAAAACGCGGAAGGCGTGGGAGGGGAGAGAGACGACGCGGAAGGCGAGGGAGGGGAGAGAGACGACGCGGAACGCGTGGGAGGGGAGAGAGACGACGCGGAACGCGAGGGAGGGAGGGGAGAGAGATGACGCGGAACGCGAGGGAGGGAGGGGAGAGAGACGACGCGGAACGCGAGGGAGGGAGGGGAGAAAGACGACGCGGTGCGCGTGGGAGGGGAGAGAGACAACGCGGTGCGCGTGGGAGGGGAGAGAGATGGTGCGGAACGCGTGGGAGGGGAGAGAGACGGCGCGGAACGCGAGAGAGGGGAGAGAGACGGCGCGGAACGCGAGGGAGGGGAGAGAGGCGACGCGGAAAGCGTGGGAGGGGAGAGAGACGACGCGGAACGTGTGGGAGGGGAGAGAGACGGCGCGGAACGCGTGGGAGGGGAGAGAGACGGCGCGGAATGCGTGGGAGGGGAGAGAGACGGCGCGGAACGCGTGGGAGGGGAGAGAGACGGCGCGGAACGCGTGGGAGGGGAGAGAGACGGCGCGGAACGCGTGGGAGGGGAGAGAGACGGCGCGGAACGCGTGGGAGGGGAGAGAGACGGCGCGGAACGCGTGGGAGGGGAGAGAGACGGCGCGGAACGCGTGGGAGGGGAGAGGGACGGCGCGGAACGCGTGGGAGGGGAGAGGGACGGCGCGGAACGCGTGGGAGGGGAGAGGGACGGCGCGGAACGCGTGGGAGGGGAGAGGGACGGCGCGGAACATGTGGGAGGGGAGAGGGACGGCGCGGAACGCGTGGGAGGGGAGAGAGACGACGCGGAACGCGAGGGAGGGAGGGGAGAGAGACGACGCGGAACGCGAGGGAGGGAGGGGAGAGAGACGACGCGGTGCGCGAGGGAGGGGAGAGAGACGACGCGGTGCGCGTGGGAGGGGAGAGAGACGACGCGGTGCGCGTGGGAGGGGAGAGAGACGGCGCGAATCGCGTGGGAGGGGAGAGAGACGGCGCGGAACGCGAGGGAGGGGAGAGAGACGACGCGGAACGCGAGGGAGGGGAGAGAGACGACGCGGAATGCGTGGGAGGGGAGAGAGACGACGCGGAAGGCGAGGGAGGGGAGAGAGACGACGCGGAACGCGTGGGAGGGGAGAGAGACGACGCGGAACGCGTGGGAGGGGAGAGAGATGATGCGGAATGCGTGGGAGGGGAGAGGGACGACACGGAATGCGTGGGAGGGGAGAGAGACGACGCGGAATGCGTGGGAGGGGAGGGAGACGACGCGGAATGAGAGGGAGGGGAGAGAGACGACGCGGAATGCGTGGGAGGGGAGAGAGACGACGCGGAATGCGTGGGAGTGTTGCGAGGCTCGGAATGCGGGACGACGTGGGATGTGTGGGAGGGGTGAGCGACGTGGCTACACTCTGCGCTGGATGGCAGGCGTCGTTTTGGCGGAAAGATCTGGCTGGGGTGCGCGGCGTGGCGGGTTCGCGCCACTGGTTATTTTCATTGAGCGGCACGGGACCTGCGTCCACAGCTGTAATCCCGAGGGGTCTTATCCTACTCGACCGTCACCTCTTCACCCTCTCCCGCACGGCCCTCACCTCCTCATTCCTCTCGCTGGGCTCGGCATTCGCGCTCATGTCGCGCCTCTTCTTCTCGACCCGCGGTGATTCCCTTGGGCTCCCCACATGTGCGTTCCCCCCCGTGTCGTTTCCTCCTAACGCCGCGCCTTTCGCCACGTGCGGCGTGTGCTGGCCGCGTGTCCTAGTTATGTGGGCTACCCCTTACTTGAGCTTTACGAGGTCTAGCAGTGCCTGGGGTGTGGGCGTTCTGTGTGAGTCCAGAGTCTCATGTACCGCTGGGTGCGTCGTTTGTTTTGCAGTTGGGTTGCCTGGCTGCCGAACGTAATTGGGTTCGGTAACCGTACCTCTGCCTTTTACTTGAATGTTCCGGCTTGGAGCTTCTCCGAGCCTTGTTTTTGGGTCCCAACCACTGAACCACACTTTGCGAAGGTTGACATGGTTACCCTGCGAGCAAGTGTTTTGCAGTTGCTCCAATTTCTCTTACTTGAGACCCTGGCTTTAAGTGGCAGGTGCGATTTGGCTTTGCGCCACACGAGATGTTCGCGAGGTCGCCTTGTCCTCGTCAAGCCCGGCCTGGCGAAACCCCAAAGCGCCACAGGTGTCCACCGATACCAAAACGTATACCTAACGTCACCGAATCGTGAACAAATCTTGACTGGGTGCATTCACAAGCGTCGAGCGTCCCGAGTTACGTCAATTTCGCGCACATGTCCTCGCGAAATCTAGACGAGGTTAAAACCGGGTTGCTTTTTCATGAAATGAATAGAGTATGAACTATTTGGACCCGCCCTCAGCCATCGCAGAAACCAAATGGCCCTTTCTGCTCCAAGCCTGACATCATCCGCGATAGTAGGAAGGAAAAGCTGTTGTGTAAGAAGCGTTACATTTAAATGCAGCATAAGAAAACTCCTGCCTATTCACAGCAGTATTTCTATCTCAAAAGCCATCCCTGTGTATCCTTACGCCAAACCTTGACGAGAGTCGACGTGGAGTGGGAAAAGCAGATGGGCTTGGCTCATCAATCGCAGGAGAGAAGCAGCCTGGGGAGAGGGTGTTTGGAGTCGACTCAAAACGCATCCTTGTGCACCGCTACGCCAAACCTTGATGAGAGTCGCCTTGGAGTGGGAGCAGCAGAAGGGCTTGGTCATCAATCACAGGAGAGAAGCAGCTTGGGGAGAGCGTGGTTTGAGCCAACTCAAAATGCATCCCTGTGTACAGTTATGCCAAACCTTGATGAGAGCCGTCGTGGCGTGGGAACAACACAAGGGCTTGGCTCATCAACCGCAGGAGAGAAGCAGCTTGGGGAGAGCGGACCGCACGGAGACTCGGGAGGATTCAAGGGAGACAGCAACGGTCGAACACAAGCAGGCCTCCCTGCACCTGCATTGCACACAGCCTCTGTAGAAACCCCCCCAACATTTGCAGCATTCAAGGCTCCAGAAGTAGTACCACTATCCAACAGAGCTTGCATGCTTTGATATTCGACGTTAGAATTGTCGAAATCCTGTTCTGGTCCGGGAGTATCGCCCCCACACCTGTTGTCCCAAGCCTCATTCTCCTCAACCTGAACAAGTCTCGAGTTGAGCCTTCCAGGCCCTGGCCCAAATTGGTAGGGAGTGCCGTTTCCTCCAATGGTACACATACTTCTGTCCGACACACGCCCTGTGCCTTGTCCCATTTCACGCGTACTGCCTTGACGAGGAAAATGCCCGTCTTGGGATTGCAGAATGGGTTGAGAAACAGCAAGAGCCACGACTTCTTCCTCATGTGACGTGGTACCTTGGAGTGGCTTTTCTCTGTTGCCAGGGAAATAACCAGGTGAATATCCAGGTGGAAAGCCAGGTCGAATGCCAGGCGAATTGCCTGGTCCCAGGAGAGCACAGGGTGCTGTGGGGGGCCTGGAAAGCACAGTTGAAAGCGCAGGGAAGCTTCTTGGAAAGCGGTGGATCTCAACCAGTTCCCTAGCAGCTTGCAGTGCCATGGCTCGCAGTCGTGCTGCTGCCTCTGCTGCCATGTCAGCAGCTTCAGCTGCTGATGACACCTGGCCAATCAGAGCGCAGCTTGTCTGATCAGAAATGACGGTGGCACCAGGAGGTATGGCAGAAGGCTGAGATGATTCCCCTGCCGCTGTAGGCGATGCTTCCGAAACCCCTTCAAAAGACAGTCTCCCTAGGCTGCTAGCCCGGTCGGCACCGCTGCTGCTGCTCCTGCTGAAGCTCCTGCTGAAGCTGCTGCTGAAACCCCACGCCGTCTCCTCCGAAGCCCCATCCTCCATAGTCTCTTCCCCTGCCTCATCGCCCTCTGCCGCCCAGCTATCAGCTATCATAGATCGGTTGCTGCTGCAGCCTTCTCTGCTAACGCCCCATGGGAGTCCAGCCTCCTGCTGCTGAGCACAAACACCAGCACCAACACCAGCATCACTAACACCTTCCTCATCTGTGTCGGCACCACATTGCACCTGTGGCAGCAGCAGCATGTGGCGACCCTCCTGCCGTGCGCGCCAGAGCTGTCCCACTTCTCCGCAGTAAATCTCCTCCGTTGCTTCACGCGCTTCTCTTGGCAATGACATGGATTTTCCGACGGCATCACCAAAGCCCGCAGCAGTGATTGGATCAGCGCTTCCCTGGCAGCTGCACGTTCTGCAGACGGTGGCTGGGCGAGAAGGGAACCACACACGGTACGTGCTTCCAAGCCGCAGCACCGCTCCAGGCGAGAGCGTGCTGCTACGCGATGTGACTGAACCGAGGGCAGCACCGGGGGGAAACCCCTGCAAGATTGACCCCGCAGTGACTGGTTCAGTCAGAATGCGGACCCCCCCGTCGGGAAGGAGGAGAATGATTGTGGGCGGTAGCTGCTGCTGCTGCTGCTGCTGCTGCTGCTGCTGATGATGATGATGATTGAAATGTTGTGACTTTTGAGGCGTTGCGAGGATGCGAGGGGTGAGTAAGCGAGCGACGAAACCGCTAGTGCCATTAGTTAGCACAGTTAGCCGCCGGCCAAAATTGCTGCTGCTGCTGATGCTGCTGCCGCTGCCGCCGATGCCTCTGCTGCTGCTGCCGCTGCTGCTGCTGCCGCCACTGCGACTGCCGCTGCTACTGCTGCTGCTGTTGCTGCTACCAATGCTGTTACCGCCGCCGCTGCTGCTGCTTCGGCGGCTGCTGCACGCTGATGCCGTTTTCTCTAACCCCAGGTACTGAATTTTCTTACAAGTCGAGGCAGCGCCAGCAGGGCTTGCAGAGACATCAGCGGCAGCAGCAGCAGCAACAGCAATGGGCTGAAAGGAACGGCAGCAGCTCACTGCAACGCCGGCCAGCGGGGAATCGTCGTCACTGATGGAATTGAGCCACGTGGCAGCACCAGAGGTGTGATCAGTACATTGTGAGACCGGGACCGAGAGCGACAGATCCTCAACAGAATCCTCCTGAGATTTCTCCTGAACAGGTCGGCTCATTTTCTCCTGACGCGGAAAATTATCCAGGTAAGGCTTGAGGCCAGTGCGTGAAAGGACGGCAGCACGGGTACGCCCACGCAGGCAAATGGGGGATTGAAGCGGATAACGCGGATGCAGCTAGAGAAGGATGCAAGGGAGGAGGAGACGGTGGAGATTAAGCGGACTCAAGGACAGTCAGTAGTGGGCCGTTAGATCAGGTGGTTGGAGAACTCCGTCCTGGTAATTCCGTTCTACTAGATTACGTCCGTGGGTTCGGCATTCCCAAGGGGCCTTCACGACCCAGACGGACTGGGATACAGACGGAAATAGGCTCGCGAGTTTAGTAAAGAGAGAAGAGACGACGGTATATAAGTTAATGCGCCTCTTGCTGGTCCGTGCTTGCATCTCCTATCGCGTGGTAGAAACGGGACGATGACGGGTGGCCAGCACAACAGAGGTCTCGCTCGCTGCTGTGAGCGAGCGTCACTCGTTTAAAATAAGCTTGAACGGGGGGGATGCAGCCAGAGCGGATCTAGCCTGCGCTAGTGGTAGCAGCAGTTCGCAGAAGCTCGCACGCGAAATCCAGCACCAGCCAGCGTGATGAGCTGAGGGGGTGGTAGCTCGCAGTATTAGTAACGGCAAAAAATGCTCCTGAAAAATGCTCGCAGTATTGAAAGCGTGAGACCCAGGTTCTACCGTGACCGTGATTCCCACGTGAGAGCCCCGCTACCCGGCGCGTGGTTATGAGGCGCCTCAAAACAAGACGTGAGACCCTGATTTCACCCCGTGATTCCCACGAGAGAGCCCACCTAGTAGGTACTACGCATGCAGTCGCTACGGTGCTACCGTACTGTGCTTGGGAGGCTGAAAAAGGACCTCAATCGACCCTACTGACGTCGAATTCGAGGCGCTTGAGCAGATCGGAAACTAAAAAGTCCGATTTTCCACGCACGATGGCTGGACTCCAAGGAATGACTACTCCTACAAGTAGCAGCAGCAGCCCTTGGAAACAAGCCTATACCGAGCCTGCTACTACCGGGCCTGTTACTACCGAGCCTGTTACTACCGACCGATGGCTAGCACTAACGCATGCCTCGGCACGGCTGGCACTGCGCACGGCAAACGGGAAAAAGCGTCCTTCTTGCACCGTTACAAGAAACGTCCAATAACAAACCGGTGCATCATTCGAGGCGTTTCGAAAAGGGGGGGTCTCAGCAGGCAAGCGGACCGGGAATCCTAATCTTTTGAGTCGACTCGAAAAAAAGCGTTCCAGCTTAGACTCGGCAAGCAGGATGTGCCGGACGGGACTTGGGCTTAGCCAGCGTCTCGTCTACTCGTCTCGTCTCGTTTAGTGGTACCAAACTTGGTGAGTCGCGAGAGTCCATGATGGAAAATGGGTCTGTGCGAGCAGATCCAAGTTCCTTCCAACCAAGGCTGAACGAGACCGCGTTCTCCGCCTCTCCTTCGCCTCCTGTTTTTTTCCCGTGGTTAACAGCGCATCTAAGCTTGCTTGTTTGTGTGTGAGAGAAAATGGCGGACCAGATGTGAATCCCTCATAGGACGGTGTTCTATGGCTGACCAGATTTGAATCGCCTAGGGATTGGATGGAAAAAAGTTGAACCCTACTTCCACTTTTCAAGGCACGTAACAAAAGTCCGCCATGCGAAGTGGCTGCAACGGACTCTGGCGACTGTGTTAAAACCCGCGGCCCAAATTGTTCATACGCAGTGCGTATGAAAAATGGGTGCTGGGTTTTACGAAAACGCACTGAAAAGCTGCGAGGGTGTTCCTTCTCGCAATTGAAAATGTTCGTGGACCGTCCAGTTTCGCCCAGCAGGCAGTTCGACGGTTGAGATTACGCGACGAATCACTGGTGGTGCAATGGAGTAACGAATTGGCTTGAGGGCCGTCAGAGGAGAATCTAAGTAAAAATGGACGGCCGAAAAACGCACTGCACATGGAGTCCCAAAATGCTTGGCGCACTGAACTTGAAAGCCACCCCTGACTGACGAGAGCCACGTTACCCCACTCGACCCCCACGAAAGCATGACTTTCAAATGCACTGCATTTGAAGGCCGCGCATTGTAATTTGGGCCGCGGGTTTTAACCTGGCTTCGCTGACAAAGAAGGCGACGAGTAGCTAGCGACAGAACAACCAGCGTGAAAACCGTATCCGTGACAAAACAACTGACAGCGGGAATCGGAAACGAAAATCGGCGGGGTTCAGGTAACTGCCCGTGACGACGGGAATTGAAAACGCGATTTTCGGAAGCGCGTCATTCCCTCCAGGTTGTTGGTTGCGACAGACTCCTCCACACATGGTCATCTCGGTCAAACTTGGACGGAGAGGCCGACTCCTTAAAAGTGATTCTTTACCACAATAAAACATGAGCTCCCAAGCAGAAAAAGTAAATACCCAGAATACAGATCTTACCATAAATATGAACACGAACAAGAAAACCACTTTTGCTTGTCATGGCAAATGAAGAGAATTGTCTTTCCATCCTCATGTGGTCCAAACAGGCATGCATCACGGGTTTTTTTCAGCACATTTTTCAGCAACAGTGCACTGTTCATCATCCCCCTACGAATCGTCGCCAGCCAGATGTACCTACCACCCTCACTCCTCTAATACCGCCCACCACCACCCCCACCACCACCACGATTGCTATACCCACCCCTCCCCACCACCCCACCACCTTGATACCCGTGATGATCCTGTTGCCTGTATGCCCCTCCCCTCCCGCTTTAGACACCCTTGGAGGCGCTTCCTCCTCATACTCATCATACCCTCCCTCCCTCCTCCACCTCCTCCTCCCCACCCCCTCTCCCCCATACTCCCTACCGTAATCACTGCCCCTGTCGTCTTGCCCATCATCCCTCCCGTAGTCCCCTCCTCCTCTCCCCCCTCCCCTCCGCCACCTCCCCTCCCCCGTACGCTGGCCTGCTGCCACTGCTGTGAGAATGGCTGTCGTGAGGGTCCCCGCCTCCAGATGCAGCTGGGGCGTCTGAGTGAGTGTTGGGGGGAGGGGTTGGGGAGGGGGTTTATGGGACAAGAGTGAGAGTGAGGGAGAGGGAGGATGCCCCCGAATGCTGGCCGGCCTCCAGTGTTGTGAGAGTGGCTGTCGTGGGGGTCCCCGCCTCCAGATGCAGCCGGGGCGTCTGCGTGAGTGAGTGTGAAGTGGGTGGAAACGGGAGAGGGGGGGATGGGATGAGAGAGAGAGAGAGAGAGTGAGCGATAGAGTGAGAATGTGTGTGGGATGTAAAGTGACGGAGGGGATAGGGGCGACTGTTGTGGGGGTCAGAGCCACCAGATGCAGCTAAGCCGTCTGTGGGGGATAGGGGGAAGGGATACGGAAAGGCATATGTGTAATGTGATGCGAGTGGGAGAGATGGCAGTTGATAGGGGGTATTATACAAGGAAGAATGGCTAGCTGGAGAATGCGGGTGTCACAAAGAGGAGGTGTGTGTGGGGTTGCAGAGAAAGCAATAACTCGTGCAAGCAATAACTCTTTGAAACGAAGATGTGAGAACATGTGGACAGCTGTCCAGTCCAGTGGAGCCAGGTAATTTATTATAAAATATATATATGAGGGCATGATCAAGAGTAAGGGTGCTGAGGTCATTACCTGCAAAGAGGGAGTTGAGGCCTGGCTTCTTGCCCTTGCTCTTCTTTTTCAGTTCCAGCGCCCCACCTGAGAAAAAAACCAGACCATCACAAGAAGTCCGAAGAGGTGAACAGGGAGGG